GAAATACGTCGAGATGAACACCTGTGTAAACTCGACTTGATCGGATCACCTCGCACAGCCGAGTCAGTCTAAGCACCATCGCGAGGCGTGGCGTGGTCTTTGTTGCTCCAAGGAGAGTGTCGGTGGTGCCGTCCTTGTCTCCCTTCCCCCAACTCTCTCCATCTCGCTTCATGTTTTCGCCGGGGGGCTGTGGGCCTGAACTGTACTCGCGATACGCACCGTATCAGTCCCATTGAGCCCCACCGTCCACGTGCTGCACAGCACATAATTAGTATTTCCAATCCTGACGTAGGCTCCCGTTATCTAATGCACCCTTCACACCACGTGCCGCCATGTTATTCGTAAGCCGACCTGTTCAGAAACTTTGTATAAAACTAGGCGTTTTCGAGTTTGATGCCTTCAAATAATCAATACATGTGCTGTTAAAGGCACAGTTGAAGGGTAGTTATTCTCACTCTCAAAAGTTAAACATTGTAGCCTTGGACCTATTGGACCTGCTTAGTCGAATTCTTCTTTGGTGAGACTGTGAAGCTTTCATCAAAATTCGCTGTGGTAAGCTTCAAATTTCAGTAGCTCAACAGCTCAACTAAATTCATTGCCTAGAATGCCCAATAAGGCTCCAAATGTAGGTTCAATTTCCCATTTGACATGAAAACTTTAGAAGTTTGAGATGATTTTTCCAAAATAAATAAATATTCAAACCATTGTTTGTGTCCTTCGGACGTGATGGAGAGGGAAGGGAGCGGCCGTGGGGAGCGGCTAGTCTCAGTGATTGACCCATAATGGGCCGCACAATGCAGTCTCATATGGGCGCGGCTAACTGGCGACGCACTTTGGGACGCTCCTCGCATGCAGAGAACTCGGCTGTGCGCGGCTCTGTGCAGAGTCCAAAGTGGGATCCAACGAGACGTGACCTTTCTTTTTATTTTAAGATTCTCTGATTTTACTTTAACTCGTATGCATCGCGATAATGCCTCCCACCGCTCAATGAAGCAGTATTAAATGTTAAAGTCGGGACTTGTGAGTCGTATCATATCATACCGAAGTCAACCACCATTTGCGAATGGTCAAAAGTTCGATGCTTGTTTCATACAAAGAGAAAGTATAGTTACGTTGTTATCAGTCACATTATCACAGGTGTCACTGGTGATGCTAATATGCTGCTCACATGCACCGCATGTTTTTCTGCACACTACACTTTCTAGCAGTGTGTTTGGCCCCGTGGCGAGCCGAGCTAGATCAGTTGAACTAACAGCATAAACGTCCGTTGAGTGGTGCGGGGCGGACTCGGGCGGGCCTCTAGCCGCGCCCACGCCCAGGGGGTGAACCTAATGCAGAGAAATCTGGACTCGTTTGAACCAAGCATTTTTAGTGTTTTTAATTTTCCATCAAGGTTTCCGTTTTCGTCTCCAGAATCGCGGTTTCTCTCGATTAACTGTTTTTTTCTGAACAGGGTCTGGGCAATTGCGAGGATGATGAAGACAATTGTGCCGCACCTCGGCTCTAGCTCATTCCCTCTCCCTTTTATTTCTGGTAAACCAAGCCGAGGCAAACACAATAAATCTGGGCCATGAATAAGGGTGCAGGGAAAGGGAGAAGAGCGAAGGAGGGAAAAAAGGGAGTGTAGAAGCGAGTGAGAGAGAGAGGGTGCGGAGGGGGGTGGGAAAGGGCACTCCAGTCCACCTTCGCGATTTATTACCAGGTGTGTTTCTGCTCTATGCCGGCCGTAGTCGGGCTGAAATTAAGGAAAAGCGGACGGAAAACTGTGCAGAAGCCGAAAAAAGCAGAAGGGCGATTTCACATCGATGCAGTTACCTCGGTGTACAACGATGCAGTGAGGAACTACTGTTCGCCTCTTCGATATATTCAGAAGTATTTACTCAGTGTAGAAAGAGGAGGAGACTGGTAGGGGTACAGGGAGGCGTTGGTAAAGCCTAGTATAGGGAGCTGGGGTAGAGGTGGTTGCTAACACTTTCAGTATGTAACTGGTCGATTAGAGAGTATGGCGCTGTGGGCTTGCGGAGCGTCCAATCTGCGAGGTGCGCGCGCGCGCGTGTGTGTGTGTGTGTGTGTGTGTGTGTGTGTGTGTGTGCGTCGGTGAGCGTGCGGGCGACGCCGCCTCTCCCCTCCCCCTCTGGCCGTAGCCATACGGCGCCCAGGTCTTAGCGGCAGCCGCATGCAGCCACTTACGTTCATGATTGAATAGTCATGGAGCACAGCATCCACATTGGAGCTTATGGGAGGGGCTCATGGCGGGAGTGGTGGTGGCGGCGGTGGGTGGGTG